CCCCAAAACCCCAAAACCCCAAAACCCCAATAGCAATCATTAATAAAAATCTTGGAATTTTAAATATTTCATTATTTTAATTCATTAAGCCATTTTATCTATTAGCTAACTATAACTTTGTAAAGATCTCCATCATATAGCAAAAGATGTTTTGCATCATACTCATGCAAGATATTTTACGGATTGTTTCTCTTAATGATATCGTAGAATTCTCTTGTCAGTTAATTGTTAACTACACTTTCATTAGTAGGTAAAGCAATATAAACTGGCACTTTGATTTAGTAATAGTACTATTCCAACTCCTCAGTTACCTTAGAGTTAAAGTATAATGATTTGCAGTATACTTTATTTCTGACCATTATCTTATCATCTTGATTCCATGCATCATCTAAACCCTCACCATAATCTAGAAATGGGTTATACTCAACTTCCGCTGTAGGATCATCATCAAATTTTAATTTGATTTCAGCTCTAATTTCATCTATAGGTTTGCAAAGCATCAAACCAAGATTGGGGGCATTTAATATGAGTTGATCAAACATTCTTTATTAATTCCTCTCAAGAAGCATTTGTATTCCAACTGAAAGCTGACCTCCAAGACTAAAGCCAAAAGCAATCACTGATTAAATATCTTTAGAATGATAAAATTCAAAGATTTTCATCATAAATTCATAACCAGTATTATAAAACACATCAATATCACCTATATAGCCTCTTAAGCCATCACTATTGCCAAATCCCTCATTGTCATACCCCATTACATCATATCCCTCCTAAGTATATAGCTGGGCAATTAAAGAATATCTCGGAACATAAGAGCCATAGCCTGGAAATATTATAACTAATCCTTTCGTGAAATCTTTGCTGCTTGGCCATCTATAAGTTTACAGCTTTACAGTGCCACTTTTTATTTTGAAATCAATGAAATTTTGCTCTGGAAATATATATTCCAAATAAGGTTGCATTTTTACTTTTTTAGATTCTTCCATATCAAATTAATTACAATATAATATATTGGTTAATTTATAGTACCTGACCATTACCTTATTTTTAAAATTATCCCACTTAGGGGGTTTTGGGGTTTTGGGG